TTCAGAATCCTGATAGAACCACTGTGGCAAAGCCCATTGAGACTTGGACAGAAAATGAGATGACGGCCTCTGATCTAAACAATAAAGCACTGAACTCTATCATAGGATCTTTGCATGAATCTGTTTTTACCTTAGTCACTGGGGTAAAAGAAGCAAAACGAGTATGAGAAATTCTTGAAACCAGATTTGAGGGTACAAGTGATGTGAAGCAATCAAAGCTTCAAATGGTACTGTCAGAGTTTAAAGCTCTTAGAATGGGCGAAGAGGAAACAATCTCAGTCTTTCATAGTCGTGTTAAAAATTTGATGAATAGAGCTTCAATACTCGGCGAACCGTTCACTGATGAAAGAATAGTCCTTTGCCAAAATGCTTCCGAATGAAAGTAACTGCAATTCAGGAACACATAGGCTGGGAAAAGAAGAGTGTGGGAGAACTTATGGGAAGCTTACACACGTATGAACTTGAAGTGCTGGCTGATGATGATCTCGCTGTCAACAGAAAAGGCAAGTCAGTGGCTTTTGTTGCTGAAGGTGATCGAGAATCGGACACAGATGACATAGATGATGAAGCCTTGGCCTTGCTAACCAAGAATTTTAAGAAGATCTTGAAAGGCTTTAACAGAAGGAGTCAAGGACAATCTAACAAGACACAATACAAAGGCAGTAACTCCTCATATCAGAAAACAGAAACACCCTTTTTCACACAGAACAATCAGTCCCAAACTGGCCGAACAAGACAACCCAGAAGCAGTTCGACTGACACAGGTAGATCTCTCAACCGGTCAGTGCAGTGTCGAGAGTGTGAAGGATTTGGACACATACAGGCTGAATGTGCAACTTATCTCAAAAGGAAGAAGGCTATGTCCGTGGCTACACTAAGTGGTGATGAGGAGGAAGCATCTAATGATCAGTCAGATGACAACGTGGGAAATTTTGTTGCTTTCTTTTCAGCTACAGAGAATCAGTCAGAAGAAAATGAATCTGATGAAGAGTCTTATATTTCGACAGATGATTTTGAAGAGAGGCATACCCAACTTGAAATGGAATTTGCTAAACTTGTTGCAAGCTAGGAACAACTGGTGAATGTCAATAAAATTTTGAATGAAGAACTGAAGCAATGGGATGATCTTCTGAAGAAACTAAACACAGAACTTGTCACAAAAGAAGATCTTATAACTCAGATAAGATCTCGAGAGGGAAAATTGATAAAAGAGTTGGAGGATATGAAGAAGGACATAAAGATGATGGACACCACATCAACTCTATACAAAATTCTGGATTCTGGTCGAAATCCAAATGATAAAAAGGGTCTTGTTTATGAACGAGGAGAGCCTTCGAAGACTATTCATGTGTTTGTCAAAGAGGGTACGACAATTGGTACACCAACTCGCAGGTATGAACTAGGTCAGTCATCCTGGTCAGCCCAGATAAAGGAAAAGGGAAAGATACATGCCCGAACTGCAGAAACTGATTTTGGCAGAGTGGCGTTTCAATCTCAGTACTCAAAATTCAAAGCTAAATTTGCCAGAATCAGACAATATACACTCATCTGTCACTACTGTCAAACAAAAGGTCACACTCGACCTGAGTGCTATTTTTTTTACAGAGATCAAAAGAAGGAGAAATATCAGAATAAGACTATTACACCGTTCACAAGACAAGTTTGGGTCAGGAAGTCAGAAGTAATATGCTATCCCACTATAGTTCTGACCGCCTCTACAACTGAAGCAAGATGGTATTTCGACAGTGGCTGTTCCAGACATATGACATGAAATGTCAAGTGTCTTATGGCTGTTCAACCTAGCAGTGGATCAGTTACATATGGAGACGGACAAAATAGGAAAATAGTTGGAAAAGGTACCCTAAATGTACCAGGCTTACCTCATCTAGAAGAAGTTCTATTAGTCAGTGGTCTGAAAGCAAATCTTATTAGCATTAGTCAGTTGTGTGATCAAAACTGGAATGTGTGTTTCAATCGTAACTGTTGCAGAGTCAGTGATAAAGCAGATCAACTGGTAATGGAAGGAACACGATCCTCTGACAACTGTTATGTTCTGACTAATGAAAATGCTTGTGCCTATCTAAATCAGATGAATCAAAACTATGGCATAGACGAATGGGTCACATAAACTACAAAGATATAGACAAAATGATCAAATTAGATGCTGTGCTAGGGATACCTAAGATCATAATAGAACAAGAAGGAGTTTGTGGTGCATGTGCCATTGGGAAACAAATAAGAACTCCTCACAAAGCAGTAAAAGTTATTACTACTGAGAGATGCCTAGAACTGGTTCATATAGACCTTATGGGACCAACACAAACTGAAAGCATTGGCGGAAAGAAATACATATTTGTGTGTGTAGATGACTTTTCTCGGTTCAGCTGGGTATATTTCCTAAGAGAAAAATCTGAAGCCTTCAATGCTTTTAGAACCTTGTGCATAAGGATTCAAAAAGAAAAGAACGAGCCTATAATAAAAATTCAAAGACTGAGAAGTGATCATGGGAAAGAGTTTGGAAACTCTTTATATTCAGATTTTTGCTCCGAGAATGGTATAGCCCACGAATTCTCAGCTCCCAGAACAGCTCAACATAATGGTGTGGTGGAAAGAAGGAATCGAACCTTGCAGGAAATGGCTAGAGTTATGCTACATGCATCGCATCTGCCACAACGTTTCTGTGCTGAAGCAGTACACACAGCATGTCATACTGTAAATAGAGTCTACCTTAGACCAGGTACGTCCAAAACACCATATGAGATCTGGAAGGGGAAGAAGCCGAACTTGAAGTATTTTCATGTGTTTGGAACAAAGTGTTATGTGCTGATCGACAGGGAACAAAGAGGGAAGTTTGAACCTAAGAGTGATGAGAGCGTCTTTCTGGGGTTATAGATGACTATCCTGACGAATCTGTAGAAGCATCAGTAACTGAACCAGAGACAGAACCTCCTCTTAGTGAGTTAAGCACAGCTGAGGACACCAGATCCAAAACACAAGATTCATCTGATGAAGATCAAGAAAGTTCTGAACAGGAGACTCCTCTCGCCGATAATGTGGGTAAGAACAAGCCCACCAGAACTGAGAAAAATCATCCTTCATACAACATTATTGGCAATCCAATAGATGGGATGAATACCAGAAGCCGGATGAGAAACAATCTGATAGAAATATCCGGATCAGCTTGCAATACCTAAAAAATAGAACCAAAAAGTGTAAACGAAGCTTTACAGGATGATCTGTGGATCAAGGCTATGCAAGAGGAGCTGCACCAATTTGACCGGAATCATGTCTAGGATATGGTACGAAGACCTGATTGTGTCAACATAATCGGAACAAAGTGGATCTTCAAAAATAAAACTAATGAGGCTGGAAACATTGCAAGGAACAAAGCTCGGTTAGTTGCTCAAGGATACACTCAGATAGAGGGAATTGACTATGATGAAACGTTTGCTCCTGTGGCAAGGTTAGAGTCAATCAGAATTTTGTTGGCAGTCGCATGTATTCTGGGATTCACACTGTTTCAGATGGATGTTAAGACAACGTTTTTGAATGGGTACCTGCATGAAGATATTTATGTGGCTCAACCGAAAGGATTTGAAGATCCAGATCATCCATCTCATGTCTACAAGCTCAGAAAAGCCATCTGTGGTCTCAAACAAGCTCCAAGGGCATGGTACGAACGACTGACACAGTATCTGCTACACCATGGGTATAAGCGAGGAAGTGTTGACAAAACCTTGTTCGTAAAAACCAGTGGAAGTCATGTTACCATTGCTCAGATTTATATGGATGACATTGTCTTTGGTTCTACTTTACAAAAGTACACTGATGATTTAGTCAAAGTCATGAAAGAAGAATTTGAAATGTCCATGGTTAGCCAACTGACATAGTTTCTAGGGCTGCAAGTGAAACAGAGTCCTGAAAGGTACTTTATCTCACAAGAAAAGTATGCTAAGAATTTGGTCAATAAGTTTGATCTGTAATTGTGTAAACCATCCAGGACACCTATTTCTACCTCCACAAAAGTATCCAAAGATGACACTGGTGCATCAGTTGATAACACAGTATATCAAAGTCTGATAGGAAGTCTGCTTTACTTAAACGCTAATCGACCAGATATAATGTTCAGTGTTGGAATCTGTGCAAGATATCAATCTGATCCGAAAGAGTCGCACCTGATAGCTGCTAAACGAATTCTAAAATATATAAAAGGAACAATTCAATATGGTCTATGGTATTCCAAGGACAGTGAACTTAGTCTGGTTGCATACTGTGATACTGATTGGGCAGGAAATATTGATGACAGAAAAAGTACTTCGGGTAGTTGCTTCTTCGTTGGAAAGAACTTGGTATCATGGCTGAGCAAGAAATAGAATTTGATTTCTTTAAGTACTGCAGAGGCAAAATATATAGCCGCTGGAGGTTGTTGTACTCAGTTGGTGTGGATGAAACAGATGCTTCTAGACTATGGTCTTACTCAAAGAATTATGATACTCTACTATGATAATGTCAGTGCCATCAATATCTCAAAGAATCTAGTGCAACATTCCAGAACGAAGCATATTGATATAAGGCATCACTACATCAGAGATTTGGTAGAATGCAAGGAAATAGAGTTGGAATACATTCAAACAGATAAGCAATTGACTGATATTTTGACTAAGCCCCAGGATGCAAATCGGTTTGAGATTCTCAGATCTGCTCTGGAAATCTGCAGGATTGATTAATAAGGTAGTAAGATATACAAAAGGAGACTCGATGGTGTCACATTTACGGGTCAAAATTCAGCCTTTGACTTCCTTTTAAATCTCCCTTCTGTTTTTGTTAAGATAATTTCTTAACCCCTCTTACCATAAATTAATTCGCCTTTTCGAAATTCAAATCTTCAACTCTTTCGTTTCATCCCTAAAAAGGAGGTATACCGTTGCGTCAATCACATCAGCTCTGCATGCATTCTGACAAGCCACATTAAATAGGGTTATTCACCCTTGGGATTATATATGAGTTTTGGGTCAAGTGTGAAGAAAGAAGAGTTGGGCAACAATCTAAGTTTGGTTGTGTATTCTACTGATACTGTGAAATCTGCTCTGCCTTCTTCTGAAATTGCTGTGTCCCCGATTGAGATCTGTCCATCTGATAATCCCTCAAATTTGCCCACTGAGATTGAGGCTGCTAGTAATTCAAGCCCTCATGCATCTGATCAAATAGATGGGGTGCCTGTCTTTACATCTTCATCTTTGGCCGAGAGCCTGGAACACGTCCGGCATTTTGCAGGATTACCCTCTACCTCGATTCCAGAACCGTATCGAGTTATTCATCCTTCTGAGTCCTCTAGTGAAGACGAGAAGATTCTTGCTGAAGTGTATGGCTCACAAGCCCCGTTGTCTAGACCCCCTACTGTTGAAGCTACAACGCATCCAGATTCAACCACTTTCAAGATTCGAGCGATTACCAATCTTCTAGGAACCTCATCTGCCCCAATATCAGACACAAGCCACTCAGTTTCACCAAGCCCTTCTAAGCCTTCCCCATCCAAGGAAACTAGAAAATCCAAACGCAAGAGTGCCCCTGTAAAAGTTGTTGTTGAATCAGGTGATGACAATCTTGATGTGGCTCAACCTGAGAAGAGAATAAAGTCTGCTGAATCAGTAAAAACTGAAGTTGATCCTCCCGTGCAACAAGTGTTCAAAACCCTGCGGTCATCTGTCAAGACCAAGGCACCTGCTGTGGTTCCTACTACTTCTACCCGGAAAGGAAAACCAACTACTTGCTCAAGAGGACGAAGTACCACACCTGAGGTTCAACCTACTACGGAGAATCCTGACACCACCATCTATAAACCTCAGTTTGCATCTTCTTCTGCTCAAGGAAAATGGTCCACGATGATCCAGAGAGATCTTATAGTTCAGAGGTCCGTTGATGAAAACCAGTTGAACTCTGTTTGCGACATCTTGCCCTTGCTGAGTGATGTGGGCCTCTTGAAGACTGTCACCTCCATCTGTCCATATTCGAAGCTACTGACTTACGAGTTCTATTGTAATCTTAATGAGGAGATTGACAATTTGACAGGGACGCGGTGCATGCAAATCTTCATCCGGGGAAAATGGTATGTCTTCGGTCCAGATGTGATAAATGAATATTATGGTTTGAAGGGTGTTGATGAAGAAGAGATAACGGACTGGGATTTGGTGGCAAAGACCCTTACAGGTGGTCAAACCTCTGCATGGCCTACGGATGATATTGATACTCTGTTTAGCTCGAAACTCACCTCTAAATATGACATTCTGCACCGTATTGCTCTTCACAACTGGCTACCATCTGCTCATTTTCATACGGTTGGCAAGAAATTGGCAGCTCTCCTGTTTCGGATTGGAACTAAAATGTCGATTGACCTAGGGTCATGGATCTTTTATCATATCCTCACGTTGATTCATCCGCGAGAACAGAAGGTAAGGTTACCTTTTCCTAACCTTATATTTGGGGTTCTGACATCACAGGGCCTTGTGCCAATGCCTAGTGAGGTTATCAGTCCGACTCTTCTGTATACTGTTGATCATCGCCTTCTGACTGGAAAACACATTCGCGATGTTACGCCGGTGAATGCTCCTCCCTCTCCTGACGCTGACAATGTGGATGCTGATTCCCCACATGCGAAGGATGTTCAACTCTCTCTTCGCTTGAAGGCCCGGGTATCTGAACTTGAGACTGTTCATGGAATTATTACGAAGCAGCTAACTGCGGCCCGTACCGAATTGGCTACCGTTTTTCTCCGCTTGAGCTTGACTGAATCTGCTACTGCTGATGCTGCTAAGTCCGACAGTGAGGACCCTTCCAATGCTTGAATGCTCTTTGACTATTTTTTGCCAAAAAGGGGGAGTGTAGAACCCAGGGGGAGTGTTTTTGTAGGACTTTGTACCTTCTGGCCCTGTCTGGGCGTCTGATTGTGATGGCACCATCCGTATGAAGAATGATGTTTTGTTTCAACATAATTTGTATGTTGTCTTTTTGTTATGAATTGTAATTCAGATCTTTGACTTTTATGCATTTGTTATCTTTGTCCTATCTAGGTTGTCTTTTTATCTTAGTCTAGTTGTTTTGCCAAATAATAGCCAAAGGGGGAGTTTGTTAGTGTTTTAATTGCTCAAAAAACCCCAACATATAATTGGCAATATTATTATGGCAATCTAAGATAGGGTTAGCTTGGTGTCGGTTTGTGTTACAGAAGATTGATTGATCAGATACAGCAACAGACGTACTGACACTAAAGATCTGTTTTAGGAAGATGTTTCCTTTTTACTGAATGCGGTATAAGAAGTCAGCTTTGGAATGAATATCAGCGGATTTGTCTTGGAATGGTATTGACCGAATCTTCAAGATTACATCCTTCTCCTATCGTCCTACCATCTACAATCAAAGATGCTTTTGGAAAGTGTTCTTGCTATGGAAGTATAAGTACCCGTATTCGGTCATGAATTAGGGTTACGCCTTTGAGAAGAAAGAAACACTCCGACATATACTAAGAGACCACATCTTTGATTATCATGCCTCTTCTCAAGACAATTTGTTCTTGTTGATTATGATGAAGAACTTGAGAAGAGATATCGTTGCTTAAACGAAAAGGACGCTAAGATCACACAGTTGTGGGAACAACATTGGACTGCGTCACTGAAGTGGACTGCATCAGAGTTAGCTCTCCAAGTGAAGGGATTTCATTGAACTTCTGTATGCACGACTCTCCATCTTCAACAATCCACTAAATCTGTGTAGACTGGGTACGTCCCTTGTGTGGGGCACTTGGGTGAGATTATTGTTTCTCTACCTTTGTACATCGGATTATGAGTTGGTGGATTGGACGCCTCTGTGATCGTCCCCCAGATGTAGATACACACTGTATCGAATTGGGTAAACATCTTCTGTGTTGCTCTTTTCGCTGTCTGCCTTAGTTTACTCTTTCTGCAAACAAATCAGTGATCCATCTATCTGACTGACATCATCGTTGAATCTGTCAGTCTAATCCTTCAGTCTTTTAATCCTATTAATATCGTTAAATTGAGGGAATGAAAAATTACATTTCATTCACTACAAAAGAAACGAAAAGATCATGGCAATGTTGTTTAGATCAAACGGGAAGAAAAGGAATGGCTTGAACCTCAAGACAATAATGGTACAAATGTTACAAAAGAGTTTTTTACCAGATCATCAGAGGTCATCCCTGAATGATTTTGACGAGTTCGAGAACTCCAAGGATGTGTCTAATGACGTTAAAGAAGGGCATTTCGCGGTGATGGCAGTGGACAATGAGAAGCTCAAGAGATTCATTGTTCTTCTAAGTTGTTTAACGCACCCTTCATTCTTATGGCTATTGGAAAAAGCTGCTGAGGAGTATGGGTTCGAAAATGAAGGCGCACTCATTCTTCCTTGCAGGCCAATTGAGCTGGAGAGGATTCTTACCAAGCAATATATTGGAAAAGCATATTGGAGTTCTTCTACAACTCAAGAGCTTTTATGTTCAAATTAAAGATACAAGTGAATAGATTATTGTCCAATTTCATTTTTTTATTGGTTAATACAATTCAATTTTGATCTAACATTCCAAAGTATTTTATTTTAAAAATGTTTAATTGTATTTCTCGATACATACAATATAGTTTCTCCACATAAATGGTTTAATGGTTCTCTGTTCAATAGTGATTAAGCTTGCAAAAGGATCATGCTAATGGAGTTGTTGATGATAAATATTTACCCAAAATACTTTTGAATTGAGCTAGAATTGCATAGTTTGCGTGTCACGCACACATAACACATAACAAGCACATGCAACCCATATTAACACATTGGGAAAGGGGAGAAAACGTATAACGAAACCTATGCATGGTCATCCACATACTAGGAATAATCCTAAGGGGTTCATACTTCTTTCACCTAGGCCAACGGGATACCAATTCAACTAGCATGCGATATATAAGACTCATTTATCCTACGAACGGTACCCGGAACATCAAACTAGACTTAGGCACGATAAACGGAGTCCGTTGGGATACCACGAGGGTCGGGGAAACATCAAACGAGGAAGCCGGAGTCCTCAGTCGGGATAATTTCCAGCGGGTAGCCGGTGGGTGGTGGACCACCCGCCGGCTGCCCGCCGGCGTTAGGTTTCCGGGCAGCGGGTACCCGGCGAGCAGTCGCCTGCCCGCCGGCTGCCCGCTGCCGGCGACGTCTTTCTCGGGCAGCGGGTAGGTGGCGGGTCCACCTACCCCCACTGACTTTTTACCCAAATAAACGTCCCGAGATCCGTTGTGGAACCCGAAACCATACTTAGACACTTTTAAACGCAATTGATGACACCACGTATACAATTAACGGATCAAAAGCAAGAATCATATAGCACATATCCTATCATGACTTCTAAACATAATCAACACCCGAACATGCGAAATCCCACGCAATTATATCAAGAATAACACAATACGAAATTCCCAATTTTAACCCAGGGCTCTAATCATATTCAGATCAATAAAATCATAGTTCATCTTTTAACTGCCAAAACATCAAGATTCATCAAGAACATCACATATTCATCAAGAACATCTTATCATCATCAAGATCATCAAGATCACACATAAAATCATCTCACAATCATCAAGAACATATCATCAATACCATAAACGATTTATCAAGACACAAGTATAGAGAGGAGGCCAAAGAAGATAATTATAGCAAGGAAAATAGGTTTTGTTGAGACATGGGTTACCTCTTAGCCTTAATTAGATCCCTTGGCTATTAAGGCTCTTTTTTCTACGATCTCTTTTTCTTGATTTCTCCAACGTTTGGTGGTGGGGAATTCCTGGGAATTCTTGTGTGGTGCTATTTATTATGGTGTGTGTTCTAATTGCTTTCTAATCCCCTATTTATAGAATCAGGAATCCTAATCATACTCTGAATAATAAAGGCCTACTTTCTTTATTCCTAATAGGTATATAGGTCTAGGATTCCTAATTAGAATCAGATTAGTAAAAGGTTTACCCTCTTTATTCCTAATACGCTTAAAACTCTAGTTTAGGCAAGGGTCCACAGTCCATGGTGGACCACATTAATTAATTAAAGGGAATCCTAACCAAATTAAATCCTTTTTAATTATTATTAACGTAATTAATGAAATAATTAATTCGGGATTGAAGGCCGTAACACGGGGTGTTACAGTAAAGGTATACTTTCTTTATTTCTAATAGGCTTATGATTCTAGTTTAGGCAAGTGTCCACGATCCGTGGTGGACCACATTAATTAATTAAAGGTATTTCTAATCAAATTAAATCCTTTTTAATTATCATTAATGGAATTAATTAAATAACTAATTCGGGACTAAAGGCCGTATCACGGGGTGTTACATAGTCCCAGAAGATCATTGCCCACCGAATGAGTCCCTCAGGCGGTGTGTAGGGCTTTGATCGGTTACGACTCACCGACTGAGCTCGTCAAGCAGTGTGTAGGGTCGTAGTCCCCAAAAGAGGATCACAGTCCACCGACTGAGCGCGTCAGCGGTGTGTAGGGCTGTGATCCGCCGTTGAAACTATCGACGGTCTATACAGTTGGCTGCGGTCAACTCCTTCATGCTGCGGTATGAGGTAGGGTGTTGCGGGGCCGTGTTAGTACTATATGTACTAACCCTCATGTTCGGGGCATGCGATTGGTCCCAAAGTATTTTATTTTAAAAATGTTTAATTGTATTTCTCGATACATACAATATAGTTTCTCCACATAAATGGTTTAATGGTTCTCTGTTCAATAGTGATTAAGCTTGCAAAAGGATCATGCTAATGGAGTTGTTGATGATAAATATTTACCCAAAATACTTTTGAATTGAGCTAGAATTGCATAGTTTGCGTGTCACGCACACATAACACATAACAAGCACATGCAACCCATATTAACACATTGGGAAAGGGGAGAAAACGTATAACGAAACCTATGCATGGTCATCCACATACTAGGAATAATCCTAAGGGGTTCATACTTCTTTCACCTAGGCCAACGGGATACCAATTCAACTAGCATGCGATATATAAGACTCATTTATCCTACGAACGGTACCCGGAACATCAAACTAGACTTAGGCACGATAAACGGAGTCCGTTGGGACACCACGAGGGTCGGGGAAACATCAAACGGGGAAGCCGGAGTCCCGAGTCGGGATAATTTCCAGCGGGTAGCCGGTGGGTGGTGGACCACCCGCCGCGTTAGGTTTCCGGGCAGCGGGTTCCCGGCGGGCATTCGCCTGCCCTCCGGCTGCCCGCTGCCGGCGACGTCTTTCTCGGGCAGCGGGTGGGTGGCGGGTCCCCCTACCCCCACCTACCCCCCACTGACATTTTACCAAAATAAACGTCCCGGGATCCGTTGTGGAACCCGAAACCATGCTTAGACACTTTTAAACGCAATTGATGACACCACGTATACAATTAACGGATCAAAAGCAAGAATCATATAGCACATATCCTATCATGACTTCTAAACATAATCAACACCCGAACATGCGAAATCCCACCCAATTATATCAAGAATAACACAATACGAAATTCCCAATTTTAACCTAGGGCTCTAATCATATTCAAATCAATAAAATCATAGTTCATCTTTTAATTGCCAAAACATCAAGATTCATCAAGAACATCACATATTCATCAAAAACCTCTTATCATCATCAAGATCATCAAGATCACACATAAAATCATCTCACAATCATCAAGAACGTATCATCAATACCATAAACGATTTATCAAGACACAAGTATAGAGAGGAGGCCAAAGAAGATAATTATAGCAAGGAAAATAGGTTTTGTTGAGACATGGGTTACCTCTTAGCCTTAATTAGATCCCTTGGTTATTAAGGCTCTTTTCTCTATGATCTCTTTTTCTTGATTTCTCCTACGTTTGGTGGTGGGGAATTCCTGGGAATTCTTGTGTGGTGCTATTTATTATGGTGTGGGTTCTAATTGCTTTCTAATCCCCTATTTATAGAATCAGGAATCCTAATCATACTCAGAATAATAAAGGTCTACTTTCTTTATTCCTAATAGGTATATAGGTCTAGGATTCCTAATTAGAATCTGATTAGTAAAAGGTTTACCCTCTTTATTCCTAATAGGCTTAAAACTCTAGTTTAGGCAAGGGTCCACAGTCCATGGTGGACCACATTAATTAATTAAAGGGAATCCTAACCAAATTAAATCCTTTTTAATTATTATTAACGTAATTAATTAAATAATTAATTCGGGATTGAAGGCCGTAACACGGGGTGTTACACTCTCCCCTCCTTACGAGGAGCTTCGTCCCCGAAGCTTAGAAATCATCACGGGGATAACGAGTCAACATTAGTACGGTGGTCATAAAGAGAAGGTATTTTACAGGGGAAACTATATGGTTGTATATCTATGTGTATCAGGTTTTTGGGAATGTTGGGTTAAAAGGGTAAAGAGAGCGGACGGTTCGGGCTTCAAGCTTGTGGACAAAGTGAATTTAGGAATGAGGATCAAAGTTTTCAAAGTTGCAACTTAGGAAGTGGGGTTGCTACCTTGTATGGAATCATTTAGAATGGGGAATCAAGAATGAGGTTCGGAGGTTAGCAAGGGTTTTGCAATAAGACGGGGTTCGATTGTCAAAGAGAAGGAAATGTATTCGGCTAGGATGGGTTAAGGGTTCTCGATCTCAAGTGACTACTCTGATTTGATGCTTTGATCACGACGTATTGACGAACCGATGATTCTTTTTCTTTGGTGTTGGCACTGTTTGACTTTAAGATCTTTGTCAGACTTGCTTCCCCGGCTAAAGTCTCATCCTTCTTTTCTATCTTTGAGGGAATCTCTCGTGATGATTCAACACTAAGTTCTCTAATGCACCCAAGGTCTTGGCCAAGTTTGGTCAACGAAATCAATCTTTTAGGGCGCACATTCCAAATCCTTCCCAAAGTTTCTTGAGAGTCAATTAAACTTCGGGTTAACTTTCTCTTCCTATTGAATCTCATTTCTTCTATGGTGAATGAAATCCCTAGTAAGGTGTAACACCCCGAAATTTTAAAACTTTTGAAACTTATATAATGAAAGTAGATTCTCATTAAAACCCAAAACATAATATAATAGAGTACGGGGTGCTATGACACACCTGGGCTGGAGAACCCAGGTGCACAGGCTGACTAACTAATATCCTCGATAATGTAAATACATAAGCATGGCACGCAGGCCGAAAGGGAAAGCTATCTACTCTACGCTCCAAATCTGTAGCGCGCTCCAGTGACTACTTCTCTGCGCCTGAAAGACAAATCTATCTGTTCAGTGAGAGATGCTGGTAACCCACTCCAACGCATTGAAATACATTATAGATAGATATATATAGATATACGAAAACCATTTTGAAGCAGGAAGATATATACTTAGGAGACACTAGTTTTAAAACCAAGAATAGACTCGACAGGTAGGGATAAGCACATTCAACAGTTATAATCAAGCATATAGAGATACTAGTATATAT